CCCCTCCCTGGGCCTCCCCCCCCCGCCCCCCCCCCCCCCCGCGGGGGAGGCGGCGGCGGGGAAGCTCCGACACGCGTGCTACACGGCGGCGGGGCCGGCGCACGCCGGGCGATGCTCCCCCCGTCCCCGCCCCTTCCCCCGGGGGCGGGGCGCGGGGTGTCACAAGAAAACGGCGGCCGCCGGCCGACCGGCCGGCCGAGCACAGGTGTCACCGTGGCACCTGTGTGTGCGCATGCGCAAGCGCCCCCGGCTATGGGCCCGGCCGTGTGCCCATCACACGCGAACGTTCTGGGACCCTCCCGGGCGGGCCGGCTTCGAGGAAAGTGGCGAATACAATAAAGTGAACAACATAAACATCCAACGCGAAAGCAGCCCCCCCTCCCCCCCCATCTGGGCCTTTGACTAGGCCATGTCCGGCTGGACAAGCGACCGCGCCCGCGACCGCGACCGGGCAGCCCGAAAGGGCCGGGACGGCCCTCGGGCACGGAGCGTCGGGGCCGTCCGTCAATTTGGGGTTACGGCGTCCATGCATGCTGCCGTCGTCCGCCACACCGCCGCCGTGGGGCAGCACACACGGCGCGCTCTGCGCCCGAGTGATGTAGGGGGGTACCCGCGCCTCCTGCTCGCGCTCGCTCGCGCGTACCCCCCCCCCCCCCCCCCCCCCCCCCCCCCCCCCCCCCCCCTGCCCTCCCCTCTGCCCTGCCACACCCATGCAGAACATCGGCATCGGGGCATTTGATGTGGACCCGGAGTGCGTCAGTGCAAGCGGCGACTCGGCTCTCCTGCCTGGCGAGACACAGCCTCTGCCGGTGCACATCCTCCCGGAGGCCACGGAGTAGCTCCCCATTGGCACGCTCTCTCTCTCTCTCTCTCTCTCTCTCTCTCTCTCCCTTTCTGGCCCCAGGTGGGCGGCAGGCAGATACAACAACATATACATTTGGATAATCTATTTTTTCGGCATGACCCCGGGCTCTCCTTTGGCAGATGAGAGATGCCCGAGGTGGCAGGGGCAAGGGCGGCAACACCGGGTCCCGCGAAGCACATGGGGGAGTGGGTGGAGGCCACCCGCGCCACCCGCGCCACCCGCTCGGCATGCGAGTCCGGCCAAAAGCTGGCCCGCGTGCCCTCCCCCTCACAGGATGTAGGGGATGAGCGCGCGCCGGGAGGAGGGGTACTTGTTGCCGAACTGCTCGCGGTACCAGGTGTGCGTGGTCCACGCGCGCGGGGCGAGGTTGGCAAAGGCAAAGAGCCAGAAGGCCAGCGCCACGCGGGAGATGGTCGGCAGATTGGGCAGCAGCCACTCGGCCGAGGAGAAGACCCCGGCCAGGGAGGAGGGCAGGACCGAGGCCGCGCTGGCCGAGATGGCGATCCGATCCAGGGCCACCGAGTACGGGGTGAAGGGCAGGCCGATGGTGGCCACCGCGAAGCCGGCCCACTCGAAGAGCTCAGCCAGATAGTGCGGGCTGGACACCAGGTTGTACATGCCACCGGTGGGGAGGATGTAGTTGTTGCGCCGGACAGTCCCGGGCCCGGGGGCCGCGCGCATGGCAGCCAGGCGCCGGTCCGCCCGGCGGTTGCCCCATGCGCCGATGTGGAAGATCAGCAGCCCGAGGAAGAAGATGTGCGAGGACCAGGAGATCCCATAGTCCCGGGGCGAGACCGCCGTGGCCGGCGATGACAGCAGCAGCCCGAGGATGACGTAGCCATTGAGCAGGCAAAAGAGGAAGGCAAAAAGGGCAATGTGCAGCGGGACCGGCCGAGAGGAGGGGCTCATCTTGAAGGGGTAGACAAAGGCGCTGGGAGGCAGGCAGGGAGGAGGAGCAAGGGGGAGTGACGCATGCCAAGGTCAGGGAGCATGGGGGGGGGGGGGGGGGGGAGGGGCGGGGGCACCGCATCAGGGGCAGCGATTAACCGGAGGCGGGGAGGGATAGGGGCTCCGGAGGAGGCCAAGGAAGCGCACCGGTAGACGTAGTGCAGGGCAAAGTGCACCGCCAGGAGGAGATGCCAGAAGGAGGCGTGCGCCACGTCCGGCTGGGTCAGTCGCGAGTACAGGTGCCGGCCGATGAAGAAGATGCCCCAGAACACGGGCGGCGACTCCTGCAGCATCCAGGACAGCTTGGCCGGGATGGCCGGGCCCGATGAGGGCTGGACCGGGACGGGCGCGAGAGTCAGGGGATGGGGGGCGTGGGCGGTGAGAGGGGCTGAGGGGGGCCCTCGAGGAGAGGGGACAGGGGAGGGAGCAAGAGACAGAAGGAGAGAGAGAGAGAGACCGGGAGAAAGGGGAGGACGCGTACCGCCTTCTTCCCGTAGGTGGGGATGGGCAGGAGGAGAAGCGAGCCGACCAGCGGAGCCAGGAGAATCAGGGCCAAGATGTGGAACACTGCGGCGGAGTGC